TATTAGTCTAGCTAGTGGCCTATCTTTTTTTTGCGTAAAACCAACTCCTGGATCCATTGATCTTTTGATTTTTTTTTTTTTTTTTTTTTGGTCTTGTTCAGTTCAGCTCTGGTTTTTGTTATTTCTTGTCTTCTGCTAACTTTGGAGTTGATTTGTTTTTGGTTCTCTAGGTCTCTTAGTTGTGATGTTAGGTAGTTAATTTGAGATCTTTCTAACTTTTTTAATGTGGGCAGTATAGTGCTATAAGTTTCCCTCTTAAAACCGCCTTATCAGTGCCCCAGAGATTCTGGTATGTTGTATCTTTGTTCTCATTAGTTTCAAATAACTTCTTGATTTCTGACTTAATTTCACTATTTACCCAAAAGTCATTCAGGAGCATTTTGTTTAATTTCCATGTAATTGCATGGGTCTTAGCAATTTTCTTGACTTGCATTTTTATTGCCCTGTGGTTCAAGAGGATGTTTGGTATGATTTCAGTTCTTTTGCATTTGCTGAGGAGTGTTTTATGTCCAGTTATAATATGTGGTCAATTTTAGAGTATATGGCATGTGATGATGACAAGAATGTATAGTCTGTTGTTTTTGGGTGGAGAGTTCTGTAGAGGTCCTTCAGATCCATTTGGTCCAATGTTGAGTTCAGGTCCTGAATATCTTTCTTAATTTTCTACCTCAATGATCTGTCTACTACTGTCAGTAGAGTGTTAAAGTCTCCCACTATTGTTCTGTGGGAGTCTATGTCTCTTTGTAGGTCTTTAAGAACTTGCTTTATGAATCTGGGTGCTCCTGTGTTGGGTGCATATATATTTAGGATAGTTAGGTTGTCTTGTCAAATTGAACCCTTTTACCATTATATAATGCCCTTCTCTGTCTCTTTTGATTTTTGTTGTTTTGAAGTCTGTTTTGTCTGAAACAAAACAGGGTTAGGATTGCAACCCCTGCTTTTTTCTGTTTTCCATTTGCTTGGTACATTTTTTTCTCCATCCCTTTATTTCGAATCTTGGATGTTATTTTGTGTGAGATGGGTCTCTTGAAGACAGCATACAATTAGGTCTTGGTTCTTTACCCAGCTTGCCACTCTGTGCCTTTTAAGTGTGACATTTAGCCTGTTTACATTCAAAGTTAGTATTGATATGTGTGGATTTGATCCTATCTGTGTTTTATTAGCTGGTTATTATGTTGGCTTCTTTGTGTGATTGCTTTATAGTAACACTGGTCTGTGTGTAAGTATGTTTTGTATTAGCTGGTACAGTGCTCAGAGAAATCAGAGAAGAGACTAACACATGGAAAAATATCTCGTGCTTGTGGATAGGAAGAGTCAATATCATTAAAATGGCCATACTACGTAAATCAATTTATAGATTCAATGCTATTCCTATCAAATTACTGATGACATTCTTCATAGAACTATAAAAAATTATTTTGAAATTCATATGGAGTAACACCAACAAAAAAGCCTGAATAGCCAAGATAATCCTAAGCGAAAAGAACAAAGCTGGAGGCATCATATTGCCCGACTTCAAACTGTACTACAGGGCTACAGTAACTAAACAGCATGGTATTGGTACAAAAACAGGCACATAGAGCAATGGAACAGCGTGAGGAGGCCAGAAATAAGGCTGCACAGCTACAACCACCTGATCTTTAACGAAGCTGACAAAAACAAGCAATGGGGAAGACTCCCTATTTAATGATGCTGGGATAGCCATATGCAGCTAATAAATGATGCTGGCTAGCCATATGCAGAAGACTGAAGCTGGACCCCTCCTTACACCATATATAATAATTAAGAAGAATTAAAGACTTAAATGTAAAATTCAAAACTATAAAAACTCTGGAAGACAACACAGGCAATATCATTCTGAACATCGGAATGGGCAAAGATTTCATGACAAAGACACCAAAGCTATCAGAATAGAAGCAAATATTGACAAATGGGTTCTAATTAAACTTAGGAGCTTCTGCACAGCAAGAGAAACTATCAACAAAGAAAACAGACAACCTACAGAATAGGAGAAAATATTTGCAAACTGTGTATCTGATAAAGGTCTAATATCCAGCATCTATAAGGAAAGTTACCAGAAAAAAAAAGACAACTCCATTAAAAAGTGGACAATGGACATGAACAGACACTTTTCAAAAGCAGACACACATGTGGCCAACAATCATATTAAAAAAAAAAAGCTTAACCTCACTGATCGTTAGAGAAATGCAAATCAAAACCACAATGAGATACCATCTCACACCAGTCAGAATGGCTATTATTAAAAAGTAAAAAAATAAGATGTCGGTGAGGTTGCGGAGAAAAGGGAACCACCCACCATACACTCTTGGTGTGAGTGTAAATTAGTTCAGCCGTTGTGGAAAACAGTATGGCAATTCCTCAGAGACTTAAAAGCAGAACTACCGTTTGACTCAGCAATCTCATTGCTGGGTGTATACCCAGAGGATTAGAAAGCATTCTGCCATAAAGACACATACATGTGTATGTTTATTGCAGCACTGTTCACAATAGCAATGACATGAAATCAACCTAAATGCCAATCAATAGCAGATTGGATAAAGAAAACGTGGTACATATACACCATGAATACTATGCAGCATAAAAAAAGAGTGAGATCATGTCTTTTGTGGGAACGTGAATGGAGCTGGAGACTATTATCTTCAGCAAACTAATGCAGGAAGGAAGAGAAAACCAAATACTGCATGTTCTCACTTATAACTGGGAGCTAAATGATGAGCACTTATGAACACAGAGGAGGAAACAACAGACACTGGGGTCTACTTGACCCCAGTCATAGTGAGACCCTGTCTCTACAACAAATAGAAAGTCCCTTGACCCCAACATAGTGAGACGCTGTCTCTACAGCAAATGGAAAAAATTAGCTGGGTATAGTGGCATGCACCTATAGTCCCAGCTACTCATGAGGCTGAGGTGGGAGAATTGCTTGAGCCTGGGGAAATCAAGGTTGCAGTGAGCAATGATCGTGCCACCACTCTCCAGCCTGGAAAACAGAGCAAGACACTGTCTCTTAAAAAAAAAAATCAAACTATATTTAAAAATTCATTCAGAGATGTGTCACTCCTTCTCCTAACTCTTCTATCTCATTACTTTTCCACACTCATTAGAGGTAACCGATTTTATTAATTTCTGTTTTATCCTTCCTGTATTTCTTTTTGCCAAGATAAGCAAAATGGAATGTTTCATGAGTTTGCATATCACCATGTGCAGAGACCATGCTGTGTGATTATAATTTTAATGTATGTGCTGCTGAAGTGAGCACTTGATATGTTTTTAACTTGGCTGGAAATAAGAGTAGGTTAAAGTCAGAGTAGGACAGTGTGGTAGGTATTCAAATGAGGGTGGGCATTCCATGGTGAGAGAGGCATTGCAGTGTGGTGCATAGGGGCATGGACTTTAGAATCAGATAGGCCTGCTTTCAGTCTTAGCCAGATCACTTATTTACCAGCTGTGTAACATTGGCCAAGGCATTAAACTTTTCTGAGCCTTCTCTCAAGTGGGAACATTAGCACCTACGTTATAGTATTATTTGGGGTATAAATATAATGACATGCTTAAAATGTCTGCAGTATTCACAATTAATAGCTAATATTTTAATAATCATTCTAATAATAAACCATTACATAATTAGGAAAGATCAATGGCAGAGAAATGCATTTTATAGTTTTGTATGGTTCACACAGATGAAACTCGTTTGTTTGTTTGTTTGTTTTTTGTAGAGACAAGGTTTTGCCATGTTGCTCAGTTGAGCAGGGCTCAAGTGATCCCTTTCTCTAGGCCTCCCAAAATGCTGGGATTACAGGGACGAGCCACCATACATGGCCCAGATGAAACTTTTTAGGTGAAAAAACAACATACTTAAATGTTCATGATTTTAGTATCTAAGTCTCAACATTTCCAAGAACAAAAAGTATGTAAATAACTTAATCAGAAAATTAAGAGCATACATATAATAAAACCTGTGTATAGTTAAGACAGTAGCTGGAAAATGTTTTCTGTAAAGTGCAGATGGTAAATATTTTGTGCTTTGTGGGTCATATGGTCTTTGCTGCAACTACTCAACTAAGCCCGTGTAGCACAAAAGCAGTTACAGATAATACTTCGATGAATGAGCATGCATGTTTCCCACTGAGACCTTACTCGTAGACAATGTAATTTAAATTTCTTATAATTTTCACATCACAAATCTTCTTTTGATTTTTTTCTGAACCATTCAAAAAGGTAAAAACCATTCATAAATCATGGGCCATATAAAAACAGGTGGTGGCCGTGGTGGAGGGTACACACCACCCTGGAGTTCTGCTGTGAGCCATAGTTTGATGACACCTGGTTTAAGAGAAGAGATTTGTACTTTAATTAATTAATTAATTTACTTACTTACTTATTTATTGAGATGGAGTCTTGCTCTGTCGCCCAGGCTGGAGTGCAGTGGTGTGATCTTGGCTCACTGCCTCCTCGGTTCAAGCGATTCTCCTGCCTCAGCCTCCCGAGTAGCTGGGATTATAGGAATGTGCCACCACACCTGGGTAATTTTTGCATTTTTAGTAGAGACAGGGTTTCACCATGTTGGCCAGGCTGGTCTTGAACTCCTGGTCTTGATCTGCCTGCCTCGGCCTCCCAAAGTGCTGGGATTACAAGCATGAGCCACTGCACCCGGCTGAGACTTGTATTTTCAAATTTAAAATAAAAATAAGGATTTATAACATGCAATTAAGAAATGAGCTAAATTGATTTTTAAAAACCCACCTGACTTTGTTTTAAATTGAAATAGTTTGACTAACCACAAAACTGTCATTCTCAGAATATCTCTTACAGACCTTTATGATTTACCATACTTTTGCTTTAGTACAACCACATTTTAGAGTGATCATTTCAAGAAATATGATACTTACATCTTTCTAACATTTTACTTTTTCATTTGCCCAAACTAAGAATCAGCAAGACTGGAAATGTAGGAAGTCAAGGGGGCAGAGGATTATAGGATGGAAGCTAGGATCCGAGCAGAGATCTGTAAAGCCAGAATAGACATGATGATTTGTGAAAACAGATGTTTGAGATCTGGAGACTATGATGAGGTGTTGATGAAAAACAGCTTTAGTAGAAATAAGGAGATGGAAAATGGAAAAATAAGGCTGTCAAAAAAAAAATTCAGAGTTCAAAGGTGATAGATCATTTTGGACATTTATAACCCAAAACTTTGTACTTTAGGTCAGAAGAACTTGGGTTCTATACCTTTTTTAAAGACATTTTTAATTTAAAAAATTATGTCATCTCTGTTTGAGACCTAATTAGCTGTGTTATCTTGGGCAAGCCATGTAATTATTGTGGCTTAAATTCCTCATTCCTTAAATGGAATGATAAATATCCTTTTCCTAGGCTTATTGTGAGGACTGAATGAGATAACTATTTACAACTGTATGACTGTTAGCTTATTATTATGAGCGAGGTTTGAGGACAGTGTTGGAAGGATCAGCAACACAAATCTCAGAGTTGCTGATCATAGCGACTAGACATGCAGCTCAGAGTCTGGTGCTTAAGATTTTAGGGAGAGTGGATCGGATAAGGCAGCCGCAGGGGCGGAGCCAAGGGCCTTTGCCTGGCTTGGCCACTAGCTCTACCTTCCCTGTTCTCACCTCCCTTTCCGCTATAGCTCCCAAAGGCAGCTCCAAACAGTCATCCGAGGAGGACCTGCTCCTGCAGGATTTCAGTGGCAACCTCTCTGCCAAGTCTTTTGCGATCTTTTTCAGGAATGCTTTCGTCGTGTCTGCTATCCCCATCTGGTTATACTGGAGAATATGGCATACGGATCTTATTCAGTCTGCTGTTTTCTATAGTGTGATGACCCTAGAAAGTACATATTTGGTAGCCTTTGCATACAAGAATGTGAAATTTGTTCTCAAGCATAAAGTAGCACAGCAGAGGGAGGATGCAGTGATTCGAAAACTTTCTCAAGCTGATAATAGAAAGATGTCTTGGAAAGAGAAAGATGAAGAATCTTGTGGAAGAAAGAATGAAGTTGCTGATTCTGAAGCTACAACATTTTCCATCTTCTATAACAACACTCTGTTCCTGGTCTTGGTCATTGTTGCTTCTTGTTCATGTTGAAGAATTTCAACCCCACAATGAACTACATTTTGTCCCTAAGTGCTTCATCAGGACTCAACGCCCTCCTGTCTACTGGCTCCAAGTAGACCATGTCAGCTTTATCCCCTGGCTTTGTGTCTATGGGTGGCATGTGGTATATGGAAAAGTAGCAGGGTGCTCAGGGTGGGAGACACACAAGATGTTTTTGTAGTCTAGAGCCTTTAAAAAACCCAACAGAATATAATTCAGTATTTGTTTATTGGCTGTTTTTGACAGATTGTTGAAATTAAATGAATTGAAAGGGGAAAAAAAGATTTTAGGGAGAATGTATGCTGCCCTAGACTTCTGCTGACATCTGTGATGAGAAGGCAGAATTCTCTAAATATATGGGATGAACATAATGGGAGATATTATAATAATGGTCTGAAATTGTTGAAAACTTCTATGTTTAATAACGTAAATCCTGTCTTCCAATAAATAAATAAATCTTCTCTACCTTTTGCAGCATCAAGCTCCAAAGACAGGTGAAAGTTCCTAAGTGTTATAGAGAATAGTATAAATAACTCAGTAAATAAAGTATAGCATTAATGCCTCTTTTTTTTCCTCTTACTCCTTTGCATCTGATTAGTACCTCTGGCAATATTATTAATCTCTGTCAAGTTATTGGATGATTATCAAAGCACATTAGGTTTCAGAAACTTGTCTCCATTGCTCCCGTATTGTTTATTCTACCCACTTTGGAGCCTAAGGCTCAGGTAACCCATAAAATATATAATCCATGTCTTCAACTTTGCTTCCATATCTGGTTCATCTTCTCCAAGTTCCCTATATTGATTTTCCTGTGTCTTCATTCCAGATTCTTATCTGCTGCCTCAGATAGTGACATGTGCTGTGACTTTTCTTTTGCTACCTGGATTCTCACCCTGCTGCCTGCTCTGACTTCTGGTAACTGCCTTTCTCTCCCTCTATTTGGGCACTATTCTGGTTGCTGAAGCATCTCTGGGATTGATGAGGCAGCTCATGGGCCTCTGCAACCCTACATTTCTGTTACTCTGACCTTTAATTCACTGGTGAGATTCAGATATGTCTTCAAAGTCTGTAACTTTTATATAATTCTTATTTAAAATAAAATTGTAACTCTAAATCTTAAGCTAAAAATACTGTGTGGTGAGACTCTGAAATTTGTATGGTGTAGTTGACCAAAGAAAAAAATAAATTCAAGATATGTCAAGAGATAAATTAGAATAAAAGCTAAGAAGAAAAATCAAAGTTAAATATCGATTATTGAATTCTTTGATGAATTGCGAATTGTGGAACAGTATTTAATAGTTTTTTCTTCTTTAGACTTTAGTCTTCTTCAATCTCATTTATTTTTCTGTGACAGTTTAGAAACTCTAGTTGTACTGAGTGGTTCCCATTGTTTCTGTTAGCGATGTAAGTTTAATATGGGTTTCTAATAAAACAATGTCAGGTAGACTATGAAACTTGTGGTTTCTTTGCCTAACTATTTGTAATGACAGTGGGCTCTGTTAAAGTTGGTGTTATTGTGACATTTGCATATAGCATGTTAACAGTCACTGTTAGAATGAACATAGCAATATTCTTAAAATTTGGGGTAAAAAAGAAATCTATTGTGAGTTTTGATTTATAATAATGAAATTTAAATGTTAAAAATGCTTAACCTTCCTAAGTTACTCTTGTTCCTGATGACAATATGATGGAGATGTTGGAGATAGATGAGATCCGTTTTCTCCTAGCTCTTGGACACAATGATCAATCACCCTGCTGATTCAGAAAATGTTATACATCCAACTAGCAAGGGTGGATAATACACAGCCTTTAGTATACAATAGCAGCTGCTCCTGATATTGCTATCATTCCTATGAAGGATTTGGGACTTCTGAGACAGATTATGGCCTTCATTTTGCCCTATTCCTCATCACCATGGAAGAACTTGTACATCCTCTGCAGGGCTGTTTTCTGCAATTCTGGAAGAGTTTTCTGGAGCTCCTGTGCCTAAAATCCTTTCAGAAATTCTTGGGAATACTAGATACCATTTTGAGACTCTACCCTGAGGATGTATTATGGAGAAGTAAGATAAAGAAAGATCAACTTTAAGTTTCTCCTTGGGGTCCCAGATTCTCTTCATCTAAAATACATAAATGAGAAACAATAGCATCAAATCACCCTTACTGGCTCCCAAAATGATAACCATACTTGTCTTTTATTAGGTATCAGGCATCTTAGCTAAGATGGTATTATTCTTTGTGTCTTTGCATTTGTAACTAAATGCAGCCAATTGAAAAAGCTCAAGCTCTATTCTTATGTGATGGGCCTCAATTGAAATAATTCAGTAATCACTTATGAAGGGACTTTGCAGGTACTGTGCTAGGCACAGACATGCAGAGTGAATAAGACCATCTCTGTCCTCAAGGATATTAGTTTAGTAATGGAGACTGAGAAGTAAATGAACAATCACACTGTGGTATGTTGAATCTGGCAAATTACTTGCTCTTCTGAAGCTTTAATCTTCCTGACCTGTGACATGAGAATCTCATAAAGGTTGTTATAATTAAATGAAATAACAAATGTAAAGTGCTTAGTTTAGAGTTCAGCATATACAGCAAAAAGTATTGTAGAAACATGAGAGTGGCACCTTACCCATTCTTGGGGGAGTGGGTTGGGGAATGTCAGGAAAAGCTTCCTAGAGGAGGTGGTAACTGTGAGTGAGCTGAATTCCGAATGATAAGGAAGACGAAGAATGGTTGGAGGTAAGATAGTGGTTCTTGGTTGCTCAGTCTTCCCTCTCTAACTGAGCATCAGACTGAATTGTTGTCAATACATTGTGTATATATCTCAAAAGCATGAAAAGTACTGTTACCCAGTTTTGTTTTTAAACCTATAGCACCTGTTATTGTCTCCTATCCAAGTACTAACCAGGCCCGAACCTGCTTAGCTTCCAAAATCAGATGAGATTGGTGCATTCATTACACAGTTCTATTTTATATTATGTTATCATTAATTTTCTTTCAGAGAATTAAAGATGGTGGTGTTATTGACTCAATTAAAACAATCTGTGTTGGGGATCATATTGAATCCATAAATGGAGAAAATATTGTTGGGTGGCGTCACTATGATGTTGCTAAGAAGTTAAAGGAATTTAAAAAAGAGGAACTCTTCACCATGAAGTTAATAGAACCTAAGAAGGCATTTGGTAAGTCAGGGGTCGGTGGGTCGGTGTGTGAAATGTTCCCTTTCCCTGATTTTTCTTTCTAAGGGAAATGAGTACTGTGATATGGTGCTTTGTGCTTTTAGTGTCTTCTTATCTAACATATCAGCTAAAAACGTAGAAAATGGTAGCACTACTTATAAGAAAGACAACTATTGAAGGAAGAAAAAAGAAAATTATTGCCTTGTAAAAGGACATTTTCCAAACATTTGAAATTACAAAGTCTAATGTCTAGTGACTGAATTTGATGTGGTTGTTCCTATCTCTGAGAACAACACATTGTATTGTTTTCATTTTGCTGAGCAGTAAGATTTTTGACTGAGCTCTTTAAACCATAATAACTGTTGCTCATGGATCTCAGCAGCAAAAATTGTAGTTATATACAGAATGGTATTTAAAATAGTTATCTATTCCGTTTAAAAGACCTCCTTCCCCAATATCTTTCCTCCATTGACATTTGAATTTGGCAGCGTGGGATGGTATGAAATTATTTCCACTTTGGGGTGACATCTGTACTTGCTTGGTTTTAGCCATGGCAGCTGTATTCCAACTGTTGTTCAATCACCCAGGGCTATCTCATCTACAGAAAAATGTGCCAGCTTCTCTCTTACCACCCAGAACTATTTTAATAAGCCAAACCAAGGCCTAGCATTCATCAGCGTTAAAATATCTTTAGCAGAATCATCTCAGGCTTGCTCTTACTCATCATGACCCCACGCACACTATGTTCTTTCCTTTGTTCACAGAACATAAATATTCCTTTTAGTTTGTCTCTAATGCCGTTTTCTCAGGGCAGTTATTGGAAATAATGGAAGAATGCAGTGGATCTGGGGAATTACGTTTTCTCTCTCTTAGCAAGTAAGTGACAGGTCCTAGGCATATGGAATTAGAATTTTTTCTGTGCTTCAACATGATTCTGCACCATTTAACAGAAATACAAGTGTAGGTTATATTACCTGTGGGAGACAGTTTTCCAGAAGGTGTAAGAAAAAGATGCCTTACCAGTACCTCCTGGAGGGAGCACTCCAGGAACTACCTCTGTAGATGCTGTGATTCTGCCTGGTGCCTTCAGCATCTGAGCTCACTTCTCACAGAGGAAGGAAAGCAGCACTCAGGTTTCTATCCAGTAACTCCTTTCAAGATGGCTTCATTTGGTAACCTGACTCCCCAGATAGCATGGTGAAATAAATTGACAGGGTGTAGATGGTTCAGGATAAATATTCTTATTTGATTTAGACTCTTTGTAAATCAAAGCGATTCTATTAGTACAACTCAAGAAATTATTTTTTTCTGTATTTATCTCTACTATATAATCTGTTTCCAGAGTAAATTTTTCTCTGTTTTTTCTTCCCCCATTGTCTGCATCTAAATCTTTTGGTCCCTATGTCTTTGTAGAAAGTTGGTGGTATACCTTAACTTGGATGCTAGGTTGGTGATGGTCTTAAATGTTACAAAGGTCATTGTATTTAGCTATTATTGTTCCATGATTAGATTTTCCCTTCAATGTTGTAGACACGTGTACAGTCAGTATACTTCACTGCCTTATGTACCTAACTACTATTGAACCGGCTTTCTGTTGCCTCATGAAATCAATGGACACATTTGCAAAGCACCCTGAGTAGGATTTTCCTAATAGAGATATATTATTTGAGCACCCTGAATTCTGGTAGTGCTGTTGGTTAGGACACCCAGAGATTGACTTTGGAGGAATAAGTTTTTGTTTTCCAAGGTTTCTGTGGAAGTTTTACTCAAACTGCTGGTCTTTATGCATTTTCCGTGCTGTGGATTGTTTCTTGACTCTGGGCTCTAGCGTGAGGGGTTTCTTTCTTAAAAGTAAGCCTGGCTGCTCTGCCTATCCTCCAGTCCCGAATTTTTCTGCTTATTGTTTTGCCTCTGGGATAAAGACAAAGCTACTTTGTTCCTCATCCTTTGGCTTCATCCCAGTGCTTTGCTCTTTGCCAGAGAGGGGAATATAAATCAGGAGGTACTTGGGGAATCAGGCTTCCCCCAATTCTCTTGGTCCTAATCTTATCTTTTGCTATGTTTCCTTCCTTTTTTCCTGTATTTTCTAGCGTTATTATTGACTCAGGGCCAATAATTCAAATTTCATAGTCCTTTATGATTATCTGACTCTCTGTCCTCTTGGATTTCTACCAGGAAAAGGGCCAGTCTTAGTGAGGCAGAGTTTTCTCTGCATTCAGATAGGCCACCTTGGCTGTAGCTAAGTCACTTATAGGATCTTAACAAAAGCTGTCAGAAATGGCTATATGCACCAGTATTTTGACATTTTCCTACCAACTTCCCTAAAGACTTAGCCTGGAGAGGCATGTGGACTATATCCCAAATCACAAGAGGAAGGAGCATAGTTGGCTGCTTTGCAATGGCATAACTAGGACTGCAAGCACCGCTTCTTTTTTTTTTTTTTTTTTGAGACGGAGTCTTGCTCTGTCGCCCAGGCTGGAGTGCAGTGGCTGGATCTCAGCTCACGGCAAGCTCCGCCTCCCGGGTTTACGCCATTCTCCTGCCTCAGCCTCCCAAGTAGCTGGGACTACAGGCGCCCACCACCTCGCCCGGCTAGTTTTTTGTATTTTTTAGTAGAGATGGGGTTTCACTATGTCAGCCAGGATGGTCTCGATCTCCTGAACTCATGATCCGCCCGTCTCGGCCTCCCAAAGTGCTGGGATTACAGGCTTGAGCCACCGCGCCTGGCTAGCACCCGCTTCTTTGTAGTGGGTGGGAAAATCCTTACTGCCTGCCTTCATTTCCATATTTTAGGTCCACCACTCGCTACACTCCACTTCCAGGGGCCATTATGTGTGTTAATATTCTTTGATGGAGAGCTATGCAATAAACACTATCTAATTTCAGAAAAAGGCATTTATTGGAGACTACCATGTAGGTCCCAGAAACAGTCAATCGAGCCTTGACAAGGTCAGGAACCAAGCCTGTTTCAGGGATGTGTGTACCAGGAACCCTTCATGGCACTGGCTGAATTGACTCCGGGCAATTATTTTCTATTTTCATATCACTTCACTCAGGATTCAGGTGGAGAGGTGGAGCAAGTAAGTAGGTCTTGTACCCATCTTGATAATGGGGAAGGCAGGCTATATGATAGACCTACCAAAATCCCACATAACAGGAAGGGATAAGTTTCCTTATAGGTAGAAAAAAAGTAGCAGATTCCCATTTTGCTATTTCTCCTTAGCTGTTATATCTTGTTCTGCAGGGACAGCGGTGTTGATTTTCTCTTGATTTTGAATCTGATTGTAGCCATGTATGATATCTATCAGTCTGGGAGTATTGAAATGGATTTGGAGGGAGAAGGGTATTGTAAATAGTTGTGGGCATTTGGCCTTGGATTTTATTTTTCTGCTATGAGTTGGGTGCCACATACATAGCTGTTTGGCAGTGGACTATCTAGAGATGATGACAGCATCCAACTTTCTTTCAGAGAAAGAGTAAAGTCACATTTTCCTTGGTGCTGGCCATCAGATTTGGAGGGGACCATAATTACCAATTGTGACTACATTTCTAGAAAGATTTTTAATTTATGTATCTCGCAAATTATTGAGACTCTTCTGTGTTTCAGGTACTCTGCGTGGCATAGAAAATACTAAGGAGGAAGACTAAGCTATGGCTCCTGCCTTTTGAGGAGCTCATAGTCTAGCAGGAGGCTGTTATGGGCTGAATTGTGTCCTTCAAAATTCACATGTTGAAGTCCTAATCTTCAGTACCTTAGAATGCAATTGGATTTGTAGATAAGGCCTTTAAAAAGGTAACTAGGTTAAAATGAAGTCGTTAGGGTGGGCCCTAATCCAATATGACTGGTGTACTTATTAGAAGAGGAAATTTAGACACAGACACAGGGAGGATGCCATTTGAACTTGAAGATCTGTAAGTCAAGGAGAGAGGTCTCAGAAGAAACCAACCCTAGAGAAACCTTGATCCTGAACTTCTGGCCTCCAGAACTCTGAGAAAATAAATTTCTATTGTTTAAGCCACCTAGTCTATGGTACTTTGTTATGGCAGCACTAGGAAATTATAGAGGATAATAGGGAAAAAATTATAGTACCAGTTCTTTGACTATGGAAGTAGATCTTGGGCTTTCTAATAATCTAGAAGGTACTGGTATTTTAGCATTCCTCTGGCCTTGGGAAGATAGCAAGAGCACACCGATATGTTTCCATTCAGACATTTGTCGAGCAATTAGTATATGCTTGTCTTAGGGTATTAGTTGTTCTAGACAATCATAGTCACCATTTATTGAAAGCCTACTGTATACCTTTACCGTACCACCTGCTTGGTACGTGCATGAATAAGATCCAGATCTAGAAACTCATGTCTAGTGAGAAGAGATGGATATGAAAAAATAAATAAATTTAATAAAGGCTGTTAGAGGTACTAAAATATACTGGATGTATAGAGGTGGGAGACATCAAGTGTACTTAAGAAGTTCAGGGAAAGCTTTTCTTTTCTTTTCTTTTTCTTTTTTTTTTCTTTTTTTTTGAGACGGAGTTTTGCTTTGTCGCCCAGGATGGAGTGCGGTGTCGTGATCTCAGCTCACTGCAACCTCCACCTCTCAGGTTCAAGTGATTCTCCTGCCTCAGCCTCCCAAGCAGCTGGGACTACAGGCATGTGCAACCATGTCCAGCTAATTTTTTGTATTTTTAGTAGAGACAGGGTTTAGCCAGGATGGCCTCAATCTCCTGACCTCGTGATCCACCCGCCTTGGCCTCCCAAAGTGCTAGGATTACAGGTGTGAGTCACTGCGCCCAGCCAGGAAAAGCTTTCTAAGGAAAGAGATTTGAGTTGAGTCTGAAGGGTTGAATAGTGCTTACTTAGTGGATGAATTGGGGAAGGTTGTCCTGGGAAGTGGGAACAGAATAAGCAAAGTTACAGAGATAGAGAATAGCATCATATATTTGGGAACACCATGTTTGCCAGTGTTTTTGGTTAGAGGTTATAGGTGGTGGTGTCACAGGAAA